TATATATATATGTGACCTGCTCCAGCATAATACGGACAAAGTCGCAAGTCATTGTTTTGAGTAATGTCATGTCAATGCTGAAAATGGCCTACCTGGAAAAAAACGAGATTTTTACAAAAATATGTTTCTAAGTGCATATTTAATTCGGATATATAGGTTCAGATATCTCTAGATTATTATGGTTATTTTTAATTAAAAAAAAAAAAGTCTTTATTTTTCTTCTACTTCAGACCGGCTTCTGACCGCTTATCCCCGACTGGGCCCCTTGCCCGAAACGCTTTATCTCAAAAGCTGCATATTCCAGAATAAGTCGGTTTCCGATCTTCAAATTGCTGTAGATCGGTCAATTCTTTAGATATAACCAAATATTATATATCATTTTAAAGGTAATTAAATGATTTATTCAGATATGCGCATAACTCAATTAGTAGAATTTCCTACTTAATCCTGGTTTTGCTGGAGTGGGTCACATATGTTACGACATACATAAGCACAACAGTAGGTGAGTGCCTCTTCCTCCTCTTGTCTTTCTCTCTTTCCCCCCCCCCCTCTTTCCCACAACTCCATCCCATAGGGTTTCGAGGCTCCTTACACTGCTGGCCCTAGTTATTTGTTACACCATGTCATTCGCGCTCCCACCAGCGTGTTTCCAAGCGTCGTCACGGGGAGTCGTCGTGGCGACGCTCTCTTGTTCACGCCCCGCGTCTCCCATCGTCTTGTGGTGATGCTCTTTTGTTCACGCTACCTGTGCGTCTCGCCACAGGCCAGCAGCAACCTACGAGACTGCTACGACACGCAAGTTCTACCACGGTCGCACCGAGACGGTACGCTCCTGCACTGTCGAGGGGATCGAGTGGTGCCGCTCGATGCTAGATGGCGCCACTACGCCGGTAAGTACAGCCGAGTATGGTTTTTTTTTTGTTTTTTTTTTTTTATTTTTTATTTCGATTCGATATTATTTTTTTATTACGATGTGTTAGTTTTGGTTCTACCGAACAAGGGATTGCTGTCCTAGAACTGACTTGCAGATTGCATTTGCACTTCACTTGCACCACACACACTGAACAGATACACGATATCTTTATATTTACTGTATATGTGCGTGTGTGCGTGCGTGCGTATGTGCATGCATGCATGTGTGTGCTCGTGATGTTTATTTGTACATTTGCGTGTGTAAGTTTGCGTTAATGTGTGTGTGTGTGCGTGTGTACGTGTGCGCACATGCGCGTGCATATGTGTGTTTAAACAGTGGTTGACCGTTCCCCATGTAGGGTAAGCGTCATGGTGTGCAGTTCATTATGCTGGGATTGAAAATTAATGTGAGTTTGAATCTGCTCGATGCACCAATGTGTTACTCGGTTGTACACCATGTAACGTGAATCCACATGACTGTCTGAAAACTATGACATGCCATGCAAAATTCCTGAAAAAATTTACTACAGTACTGCTGTTTTCAGTGTTTTACGATTATATTCTGCAGTAATGCAGTAAGCATGCAGGTAACATAAGAATTTTTATTCTGTCAGAGTCACTATGGCATGGTGTCTGCCGTGCATTATAGTAACTTTTGGTTTTAAACTTCAGGCTGCAACTTGCCTCGTTTTGCTGTGGCTGCTCTCTTTTTGTGAGCATACGTTGGCCTCACCGCATCAAAACTTAACCTCAACATGTTATGATGCCTGACCTTTCGTGCATGGTTTCATGGCACCCCAGTATAACGATGACAAGCAGAGCCAGGCAGTAGTCAAAAGTAATGAGCAGAGAGCGGGCCAGTGCCGGAAATCACGTGGATTTCAAAATGTTTAAAAAACAAAAATGTCCGAATTTTACACAAGAAATATTTGCCGAAAGCCAGCGACGATTTTTCGCCGTTGTTTTTACCCCGAGACGATCATCCGACAGACTGGCGACATTTTCATGACCTCCCAACCGTTTCAAGGACATTGAAGTCTGTTTTTTTTCGGAAAGAAAACCACGCGTCTCTCACATTTTTGAATCTGTTTTGCCCGTGTGTCTCACACTGTCGTGTTTCGTCCACCCCCGCGGGGCGCGCCGCGGGGCGGAGTGTCTTCGTGCGTCTCACGTCTCACCGGTCCTCTCCGTAGTCAGGTACTGTCTCGCGTTGTCTCACGTCTCACCCGGCACTTGTCTCACTTGTTAAGCCTAGCGCAGACTTGCGACTTTTCCATGCAACTCGGCTGCGATTCTAGAATCGCAGTCGAAATTGCTGTGAAATCGCTATGTCTGCGTGAACGTGCAACTCCAAGTAGTAGCGATTCTGGTCACTTGCAACGAGTTGCAAGAAATCAAACTTCTTTGATTTTCAGCAACTTGTCGCTCCCAATCGCTCCGAAATCGCTTCGAAATCGCATGTGTGCGCACACACGGGGAAGCGTGCGAACGATCGCATGCGGTTGCAGGTTGCAGCGACCAGTCGCAAGTCGCAAGTCTGCGCTAGGCTTTAGTCAATCTCTTGTTCTGATTGCATGATACATTTTTTTTCCTTTGCTGGTAGTTTAGTCTTAAGAGAGTGATTAGTATAGCTGTCGTTAGCTAGGCATAGTTATAGCTCAGTGTAATGTAGTGAGAATAGCTGAATGTAAGATGACGTCAATTTAATATTGTATATAATATAGTGAACAGACACACACACACA